CGTGTGCTGTAAATGGGACACTGTGGCTCTAATAAGGCACCCTCGGAGATGTGGTATTTCCATTGTGCAAGACACAGGGAAGGTAGCTACACAGCGAAGGAAAGAGTGTGGCCACAGCAGAGGGAGCATTGTGGGTAAAATCCCAGGAGCACAAAACAACTCGAGTCCAGAACTCTCATCATTTTGTGTGAGTAAAGGGCTGACATGGATTGGACAGGGGCCAGGTCTGGGAGAAAAGATTAAGCAGATAGCAAAAGGCCTTGAATTTTCTGTGAGGAAGTGAAACTTTGCGAGAAATCTATGGAATAGCCATTGAAGGGTTTAGGACTGGTTGAGAAAGAGGGGGCAATTGGAGGTGATCATCACCAGACAGTACATAGATCTAGTTACGGCTTGGAAACTAGATTGGGACCAATTAGACTGGAGGAGGAGAGACCAAGCAGGAAGCTGTTAGGAGGCTAGAGTTGATGCCAGGAGAAGTGGGGAGATGTAACTAAGCAATATGGGGCAGCAAGCTCTGTAAAAGGTAGTGAGTGTGTCAGTGAGCTCTCACCAGGAAGGGCTGCCTACCAAATCACTCCAAATCCAGTGACTACACAAGTCTCTAGGTCAGGTAAGCACAGTGGAGAGTGGCTGGACTCTGCTGGGTGGTTGGCTATGCTGCCCCGGGCTTGACTGGAGAAGCCAGACCTCTCAACATGCCCTCGGCCAGCCGACCTCAGCTGGGCTTGGCTGGTGTGGCTTAGTCCTGCTTAGTTTAGCTCTCACCCTCTTCCTGGGACCAGGAGGCCAATCTGGGTATGTTCTTTTGACAGCGGGATCAGACGCATGAGGCAGCAAACCGAATCAGGCATGAGCTCCATGAGGCTTTAGCTGTGACATATGCACCCGTAGTCCATTGGTTGTCACTGTCGCTGAGTTCAAGATAAAGGGGCTGGAGGCACCTTTTACCTTTAGATGAACTGTTAAGTTTCATGATGAAGATCATGGCTGCAGGAAGAGGTGAATAATTAGAGCCTTTTGTGCAATTTCCTGGCACAGATAAGGTATTTGATGAGGTCTCTCTGTCCCCTAAATGTGACTCTCGTCTGTTCAACCGCCTGCAAGTTTGAGTCTTGGACCCTGCAGTCCCCACAGTCATATTCAATGGACCCCCTCAGTAACCATCCCAGAACACAGCCTGTAAGGGACATGGTCTGTGCTGTCAGATCCATTCTCAGAGTGTTTTGCAAGAGCCCTTGACCATTACCCTAGACTACACACACATATACATGCACACACATACATTCAGATACATATGCACAAACAGATGCACACAATACACACAGAGACACATACACACAGACACACAGAAACACACACACACACACACACACACACACATGCACGCACTGTGGGCGCTGGTGCCCTACCAGACCTGCCATGGATCCTCTACCTGCCTGCCCTGGCCCACCAAGATGCCTCCCCAAGGACTAGTTTGTCTCATTGAGTCTCTGTTGATCACACATTCCCCAGACTCCCTTCCTTTGTGTGGGCAGAGAAAAGCGCATGGCTTCCAGTCTTGAAAGGAGAGGGTGGGTGGGGGAAAGAGGTGTGTGTTCCCAGGCAGATGGAATTCTCTTTGGGGTTCCCCACTTCTCCTCTGCACTTACCACCTCCCTTGCTGCCCCGCCAGGCTACTGCCTTGGTTTATTGGGAACCGAGACTGAGAGGAAGGGAGCATGAACTCCCCATACCCTCCCTGTCCTACTGGGTGGCCAGGAGAAGGTGCCTCCCCACTTGGCATCTCCGTGTTCACACCTATAAAACAGTAGCATTTGTGGAAGGAACATTTGGTGTTTAGCAAACACTCATATGGTGCATACTAAGTGTCCTGCTATCTTAAGTGCTTTTCAAATATTAACAGCGGGAAGATTGTTGCACAGAGAGGGTAGGCCAGTCCCCTAAGGCACACAGCTAGAGAATGTCGGTGTCAACAGTCCCCAGCAGTCCAGCACCAGGTCACTCTTAACCTGGTGTGTATGTTATTACCTTGCCTTCCATCCTCAATGAATTTCTATAGCACAGTGACACATAGTACGGGCCCCCTGGTGTCCTGCTTGTTGTGTGTCTTTCTTTAATTACTCTGAATGGATATTGTGGGTTGAACTGTGTCACCTGCCTCACAGAAAGGGATGTTTAAGTCCCAACCTCTGGTCCCTGTGAATGTGACTTTGCTTGGACATTAGTCCTATACACACATCATCAGATAAGATAACGCCGCGTAAGATACGCACACCCGCCTTGGGATGGCTGAGTAGGCAGGAGGATGGTGGGTTTGCATGCTAGAGTAACCATTTCAAAACTGATATTTCTTTTTCCTTTAGAACTTTGTATATGTCCATCCCTGGCTGTGAGTGAAGGCACACCAGCACCAACCTCAGCATACACGCAGAGGTCACAGGTCAACCACTGCTGTTGGTTCTTGTCTCCTACCTTGTTTGAGGTAGGCTGTCTTGTTTGCCAACGTATATACCAGTTATCTGGCATGCAAGCTTGTGGGGGTTCTCCTGTCTCTGCCTCTTGTTTCATCGTGGGTTCACGGGAATTATAGAAGTGCCCTACTAAGTCCAGTGGGTTCTAGAGATCCAAATTCATATCCTTACACTGGCACAGTGTCTTAGTTACTCTACTAGTGCTGTGATAAGACACTGTGTCCTGGTTAAGGTTTCTATTGCTGTGATGAAACACCATGACCCAAAAAAGCAAGTTGGGAAGGAAAGGGTTCATTTGGCTTACACTTCCAAAGCACTGTTCCTCATTGAAGCAAGTCAGGACAGGAACTCGGACAGGGCAGGTGTAAGTGGAGTTTTCCTGACCTGACTGCCTGCTCCCAAATAACTGACACAGAGGCTTAATATTATTTATAAATGCTCAGTCAATAGCTCAGGATTGTTGCTAGTTAATTCTTCCACTTAAATTAACTCATATTTCTTATCTGTGCTTTGACAGGTGGCCCATGACTTATTATCTCATTTTATACACATCCTGCTTCCTCTGGGCTTGGCTGATGTCTCCTTCTCTCCACCCCCTCTTCCCTCCAGTATCCTCAGTTTGATTGTCCTGCCAAACTATGTCCTGCTCCGATATAGGCCAGTCAGCTTCTTTATTAACCAATGAGAGTGATGCATACTCACAGTGTACAGAAGGATTATTCCACAGCAGGCAGGATCCTGGAGACAGGAGCGAATGCAGAGGCCATGGAGGAGTGCTGCCTTACCGGCTTGCTCAGCCTAATTTCTTATAGAATCCAGGACTACCAGTCCAGTGATGGAATCAGCCCACAATGGGTTGGGCCCTCCCCCATCAATTACGAATTAACAAAATGTCTTACAGCCAGATCTTATGGAGGCACCTTATAGAAGAAAGAGCATATTGGGGCTCACAGTGCCAGAGCCATGACATGGCAGCAGGCAGGCACGCATGACACTGGATCGGTAGCTGAGAGTTCCCACCCTGATCCACAAACAGGAGGTAGAGAGGGAGCTAACTGGGATTGGCTTGGGCTTTTGAAACTTCAAAGCTCACCCCTGTGACACCCATTCCCCAACAAGGCCACACCTCCTAAACCTTCCCAAACAGTTTCCCCAACTGGGGACCAAGCATTCTAATATGTGAGCCAATGGGGACCATTTTCACCCAGACCACCACACAGCAACTGTTTTGCCCACTGAGACACCTTCCCAACCTAGATATAATTTTTAAATGTTTTTATTGCCATAATAGTGAATTTTATTATGACATATTCACACGTGTACATGATGTATTGTGATGATATTCACTCCCATTACCTTCTCTTGTTCCTGCTTCCTGTTGATACCTTTCCTCTTCTCAAGTGTGCCCCCACCTTGCTATCTTCTCTCTCTCTCTCTCTCTCTCTCTCTCTCTCTCTCTCTCTCTCTGTGTGTGTGTGTGTGTGTGTGTGTGTGTGTAAGTGGTCCCGAGAGTTTTACTAGGGTTGCTTACAGGATCATGCACACCTCACCAGGGACTGTAGCACTGGAGAAAATGCAACAGAGATCTCGACTTTCATGGGGGCTGAGAAGTGCAGGGTTTGGGGGTTGGGTGGGTGGAGTAGAGTTATAGGTTACTATGTTCCCTAAGCCCTGGTCCCAGGGAACCAGGACTTCTGTACTAGTGTTTCATGAGTATTCTAGGCTGCTGGAGGCCATATGTCATTGCTGCCAGGACACTGGATTTGGGGACTGAGTTTGACTCCCTTTCTTGACTGGGAATGCGGGTCAGATTTCTCCTCTCACCTTCTCATGTTTGTCCTATACTGGATGAGGGTTCAACAGGTTGGCTTTAGGGCTTGGATTTTAGATTTCTGCTTGTCTGGTCATGGGGATTCTAGATCTACCTGGCCTGATCTTAACAAGCCCTAGGCTCTCCGAGTCACCCAAATTTCTACCATAAAGGTTCCACTTCTTGAAGCTGCCTAGGAATTTTCCCTATGATTGACCTGGCCCTGGGTAGCCAGTGATAGCCTGGGACTCACCAAAGACAATGACAGATCTGCTTACTGCCTGGGACCACAGTACCCAGGGCCATCTGCTTGCCTGCATCATGGCCTTTTGGGGGAAAAACAGAGTGACAGCTTGTATCAGTTATCTCACAAATGGACTTGCTGAGGAACAACATTGGGATCTGGGGGAGGCTAGCTCCAGAGTCAGGACCCTGGGAGCTCTGTCCAGCATTGAATTGCCTCAAGGTGAGGTGACTTATTCCCCCTGGGAGGGGCTGCCCAAAAGCCTGACATCCCTAGAAGCCAGACATTTGCTATCAGCCCCTGCAGGAGTTAGCCAAGCCTGCTAAGTGGCCTCCTGTTTCCTCCTGTGCTCAGGAGAAGGGGGAAGGGAGGGCGCAGGGTGGGGGAAGGCTGCACAGCCGTGTGAGCCTGGGGTGATTGTCATGGTTACGCTCTGACAAAACAAATGGCTCTGCTTCCTGCAGGCCACCTAAACAGCCATCGCAATGTTGGCATTGATCAAGCTAGCTGCCAGGGCAGCCAGGGACTGGGCTTGGGTGCCAGAGCCCAGCTTGGGAGCCTTCTCCAGTAGCTTGGGGCACAGGGAGGCAGCTGCTGCGACTGTGGGGAGAGGAAGTGTCCGCCCTCACACATGTTGCTTCTGGGACAAGGTAAGGGTTGGTGCAACCAGTGCCCTGCATTGCAAGGGCAGGGGACTCATCCTAAGTGCAAGGGTGTGCATGAGTGTGTGTGCACGGGGCATTTGTGTGAAAGTGACTGTGTGCTCGCTCTGTGGGGAGGGGCTCAGGAGGTTCCAGCATCAGAAGTGAGGATGTAACCACATGTTGCTCCCATGCTTCTCTCTCTCTCTCTCTCTCTCTCTCTCTCTCTCTCTCTCTCTCTCTCTCTCTCTCTCTCCTCCCTCCCTCTCTCTCTCACCCCCCTTCCTTCCCTCCCTCTGTCTCTTCTCCCTTTCCTTCCTTAGTGTCTGTTTTCTGTGTGTAATTCTCTCGGCGTCTCCTCCCTGTGTCTCTGTCTCTTTTCACTGTCTCTCTTTATCTCTCTGTCTCAGCCTCTCATCTCTGCCACCTCTTTCCACCGTCTCCCTGTCCCCATCATTTCTAATCTGTCCTCTAGGGCTCCAGGGCAGTCAGTGCTCTGCAGGCTGCCCACCCTCACTGCCAAGCTCCAGGCTCATGCCTGCTGCCCTCTGGGTGCCTGGCGTGTGACTGTCTCCACAGCTGCTGGCTGAGTGTGCGTTCTTCTCTGAGCTCTCACGTCCTGGGATCCTGGAGGTAAGAAGGTTCTGAACAGAGAGGGCGAATCCTTGGGTAGTGAGAGGTGGTGGGGGCCGGGGGACTTGGCACTGTGAATGGTGATTTCTGCTAACATGTCAAGCCCCTGCTGGAAGTCCCCTCATGTCTCCTGCTGCAGCTCCGGAGGTCCTAGGAAGTCCTAGTATTTTATTCTGATGTTCCTGTCCCAGCCGGTGACACAGGAGACTGGGGAGTTGGGGTGGGGGAGCAGAACCATCTAGCCCCTCCTCCACTCTGAAGAGCAACAGGCACCTCTCTCTCTCTCTCTCTCTCTCTCTCTCTCTCTCTCTCTCTCTTTCTCTTTTTCTCTCTCTCAACATCACTTTCTCTGCTGGGACTTAAGCCTGTTTTCTGTGCCCACCCATCTAAACCAAGCAAGTCACAGAAACTGGGCAGAGGCCAAAGGGCACAGGCTGACCTGCGGTTCTCTCATTTGGAGGAGGGGCACTCAAGGGCACAGAACTCCTGTGGTTAACTGGGGTCAGACTGGGATCTGAGTCCAGGGATACATGATGTATGTGGATTATGTCCTGGTTTGAAATATAGAGGCACACTTCTGGAGGGAGATGTCCCTGGAAGCAGTGATATGATGTGCATGGAGCAAGCCACATGAGTAGATCCTGGGGGTCCTGGAACATGTATAGTAACATGTTCACGTTTCAGGAGTGCACATGCAACGTGCTCTTTAAGCAGTGACATGAAGGGAATTAAGCGTGTGTGTGTGTGTGTGTGTGTGTGTGTGTGTGTGTGTGTGTGTGTGTGTATTAAGATTGTTGAGCCTGTGGGTTAAGCCTGACCATGCAGTGACTGGGCAGGGCCCCCACGGTCTGACAGATGAATGCAATGTTCTTCAGCTTTGGGATGCAGTGCTTGGACCCCTTCTAACCCAGCTCAGGTGGTAGTCCATGGCTCAGGGCAGTATGAGAGCTGTGTCCCCTGGGTAACCTGTGGACCCCACTGCTTTTCTGCCTTAAGACAGGCCAAGCTGCCTGGCGCAGGGGTGGCTTGGGCTGGGAGCATCCTTCTACCGTAGCTTTAGGAGTTGGGAAGCTCGGGGACCTGTGGCCTCCTAACATAACCACTATCCCAAAACCTGCTCTCTGGATACTCCCTAGTCATTGGCAATCAGGCTGCGGTTCAAATGTCCAGGCTAGGGAGAGACGCACCTGGATGGCAACACTATGCCCTAGTCAGAGGGATCGGGTGCCCACTGAGATACCCTTCCCAACTAACCTGGACAGCTTTAGAGTGTGGCTTTCTGCCTCTCACAACTCTCCTCCCAGAGAGCAGCTCCTCTGCCTGGCTGTTCTCTCATGGCCAGACAGGTGCTGTTGACTGTAGCCCTAGGGAGGCCATGCGTATAGATACCCTGAGGAAAAGAATCCGAGGAAGGGGCACCTGGGGACACTGAGTAAAGACCATGCCTTGGGCTTCTCCACAGTTCAGGTTTTGCTGCATGCTGTGGTTTTTCACATGGCTTCCCTGCTGATTCCTCTCACGGACTTAGCTTCAGAACGTAATGGCCAAGCCCTGTAGACTCTCTTGCTCTCACGGGCTCCCTACATTCTGGCAGCAGAGGGGGTGGGTGTAGAAATGGGTCAGCAGAGTCAGTGGACCACACACGCCCCCCCACGGTGGAGAGAGGGGTACACACGTCTTTTGGTCTTGTTAACTACCCCCAGCTTCTCTCCGTAGCCTCCGGGGCACTTACCTAGCGCTAGAGCTGACACTTGTGACTCTGCATGCCTGAGTTCTTTACAGAAAGGGGATTGGGGTCAAGTGTGTTCAATGAGGGGTCAAGGGTGCTCAGACAGGGACTAAGGGTTCCCAAAGGAGATGCTGTTAGTGCAGAGGTGTGAGGAAGCCACAGAGGCAAGTGGCCACGTGGAAAAAGAGAGGCAGCGAAGCGTCTTTTCTATGGCTGGGATGTATAGATCAGAGGAGAAGGAACAGAAAACTCAAGAGTGTTGAGTCAGTTTGCGCCATCAGGGAGGGCAGGGTGGGAAAAGGGACAGGAATGAGAGTCCCTGAGTCGTTGGATGCCACCTGATGCCAGGTACTTGACTGGGTGTTGGGTTTCTGTTCTCGAGGAAATGAGGACTCGAGTTGGAGAGGGCGGTAATCTATTTCCTAAGCTTATGTCAACCAGTTCCCACAAGAAGGCTCTTGAGTTTGAGCCCTGGGAGCTGGTCAAGAAGCAAGCGATGAGGGGCCTAGACAATCCAGGGCGCAGAAGCCATTGTGTAGATTCATGAGTGGTCTGCTTGACCATTGCAGTTGGACGAAGGTGAGCGTGTGTGTGCACGCACGAGAGAGAGACAGAGAGAGAGAGAGAGGAGAGAGAGAGAGAGAGAGAGAGAGAGAGAGAGAGAGAGAGAGAGAGAGAGAGAGAGAGACAGAGAGAGAGAGAGAGAGAGAGAGAGAGAGAGAGAGAGAGAGAGAGAGAGAGGGAGAGAGAGAGCAGAGAGTTGGCAATGGGAGACAGCTTGAGATAAGAGCTTGAGGGATGGTCACCTCCAGTCCTTTGCCTCCCTGGCCCAGGGAATGAACTTGAAAGAGAGAGAGAAGAAGAAGCTGGAGAGGAGACCAATGGCTAGTGTGCACCTTCACTGTTCTAGACCCTTACCCTAGTGTCTGATTTCATCCCCATTTTGCAGATGTTAAAAGGGCATCTTGGGGAACCCCAAATAGCCAGAGAACCAAGGGCACAGTGCAGATGGCAAAGCCATTTTATTAGAGTGGGGCTAGAGGTGGGGCTGGTGGCCCAGCATCTCCTTAGCAGGTGCTGGGTATTTGAGAGAAGTGACAATAAGACGGGGCTTCATGCTACTTCTAGAGATGTTCAGACCACTCCACCTACAGCAGCTCTTAGATGCAGCTCAGCAAACCTCTGAGGAGGAATCTAGATGGGTTTCATGGGGGCAAAGGGGGGAGTACTTAAAAGAGCCCAGCAGGGCAGGTAGCTTTATAGAAACTCAGATTTGGTTAGAATGACTGAGTGTCAAGGAATAAGGCTAGGCCACAGCACAGAGTCAGAACTAATGGCAGGGCTGGGAATGAGCATACATACACACATACATACATACATACATACATACATACATACATACATACATTCATACATACATGAACCTGCTGGAAGAATCTATGGGATAAGACTTCTGGAGTGCTCCATGGGCTCTGGAGAAAGCAGGAGGATCTTGGTCTGGTATCCAATCTGAAGCCCATTGCTAAGTGATGGGCTGTGAAGTCTTCCTCTTCCTGTGACTACACTGGGAACCAGACTCCTGACTGGAGACTTCTCCCAGAGGCTCTTCTTGTGAGACGGTGTCAGAAAGAAGGTTAGAGAGGGGATCTAGAGACCAGCCTGGAATGGGGCTGGGCAGGCACAGCTATGGAGAAGGGGTGGTCTATCGGGTTCACACTGTACCCCCACTACTTTGTTCAGGCACCCGTGCAGCCTCTGCATAATCTATTGCCTGAGACTGCACACTTGCCAGAGTCTAGGCTTAAACTCATCCCCATCAGGGCCTGGGATGGAGGCTCACAAACTCAAGGGCCCAAAATTTGATACCTAGAACCTGCTTTAAAAAGCCAGGTGTCATGGAAGATGCTTGTAACCCCAGCTCTGGAGGAGCTGAGACAGTGGATCGGTAGGGCTTGCTGGCCAGGTAGTCTTGCCTAATTGATGAACTCCAGGTCAGTGAAAGACCCTGTCTCAAAAGGAGGTAGATGGTGTTCCTAAGGATGAACCTAAGGTTGACCTCTGGCCTACACACACACACACACACACACACACACACACACACACACACACACACACACACAAAGTTCACATCACCGAAGAATACTAATGAGCCGAGTACTTTCAAATGCTCGGCACAAGCACCTGTCCTTGCTCAAGGCCCATGTCAGTCCCTCCCTGCCCATCAGTTGGCTCCTATGGAGGCTGCTGCATAGGAAAAGCAATGGCCATAGAAAGCCAAAGGATCACACCATGGAACCAACATCAATTCAATCGAGATTTAGAGGGGAAGGTGGGCCTTTTGTCCCACACAATGCCATAGACAAAGGAGAACCTGAACACTAGGCCAATGAATGACAGAAAAAGAGAAAATTGGTAACAGTGAAATATAGAAAGTCACAGTGAGCTAAACAGAGAATTCTCTAGAGAAGTCATGCCTATACAACTTGATACTTGATTTGTTCTTTGCTTTTAAAGTTGTTTGTTTTAGTATTTTTTGTTTTGTTTTGATTTTGTTTGTTGATTGGTTGGTTAGTTTGGTTTGGTTTTATGAGACAGTGTTGTTTTGTGTAGCCCTGGCTGTTCTATAACTTGCTCTGTAGACCAGGCTGGCCTCCAACTCAGAGATCCATCTGCCTCTGCCTCCTGAATGCTGGGATTAAAGGCGTGCACCAGCACCACCACCCAGCTTTATTGAAAGCTTTAATACACAATTATAATATTATTTTGACCTAATATAGGATTCTGTTTTCGAGTTTTTAATTTTAAAAAATCCCAACTGAAAACTTCCTTCACCATTTCTGATAAAAGCCAGTAGATGTTTTTCATGGATTCAAGTGTCCAACTCTGATCAGTTTTGGAGGGTGGGGGATGTGGAACCCTTCTGGAATCTGTGTTTTAACACTTGTGAGTTGAGTAAGTGAATGGGTGAGCAGGGAACTGTGAGCTGTTGCCAGAATCAGGAACTTCTGTGCATCAGATTGCTGGCTTCCACTCTGTCCACCACACCTCAGAGCCTCTTCATTTAATCAGCATTTAATGACCACCCACTGGATGCTAGCCACTCTCCTGAACACCGCTAAGAAAATAAAGGTTCTGTCTTCATGGAATTTATATCAGTAGGCCCACTGGTCAGTGTCCTCTTCAGCCACACCTTAGCCTCCTAGTATTGTGGCTTCTCTCCCTGACCATCATCTTAGCTTACAGACCGGAACATTCATGGCATCACTAGCCA